CGGGCTCCCTGCTCAGCGGGGGGTCTGCTTCTCCCTCTGACCCTCTTCCCTCTTGTGCTCTCTGTCTCTCATTCTCTCTCTCTCAAATAAATAAATAAAATCTTTAAAAAAAAGAAAGAAAGAGGAGAAGTGTTACTGACAAAACGTGATCTGGGATGCCTACTTTAGGACAGGTCCCATCACCAGGATGGAGAAATGGGAAGATTTCCCGAAGGTGAACCTTGTGGAGACGACATCAGGAAGGACAGAAGTCTGTCCCAGTCACTCTAAGCTCACAACGTAGGACTGTGTTCTGTTGACATGCGTGTGCGTACGCTCACAGGAAGATACTCACATGTGAAGCTATTGTATGATTCAAGCTTAAAAATGTAAAATTATTCAAGTACAGAAGTAAAGTGTCAGTCATTAAAAACTGAATCTATGATCCAACAGCACAGTAACAGTTCGTGCTTGAATTGAGGGCCTTTTGTTTTTCTCCAAAAACTAGCCACGGTTGTCCAGTGGAACACAGAATCCACTGGACGCACCGACCCCCCAACCCTACCCCCGACTACCACCAACCTACCTTTCTTTCAAGTCATCCAGGCATCGCTGAAGGTGGACCTCCCCCGCCGTGACTAAAACGTGCTCTCCCGTTTCTTGAATTAAAATCTGGACACAGGGGTCAGCCTGGTTTAAGAGCTTCATTCCTTTGACGAGCTGAGGCATTTCACCTAGGTTAACAAGATGAAGGGTGATTCAGTGCAACGTAAGGACTAATAATCAAACCGCAAGGTGATGCCCGTGGCCACCGAAGGGAAAAGTAAAATGAAATAAACTCTTAAAATAACTCTTCCAAATAATGCAGCCATGTGAGGAAAATTGTCTCCTGCGAATTTATTAGTACAGATAGCTAACAGGAGACCCTCAGAAGCTTACCGTCAGGACCCCCGAAGCTGGTCTATACGACTTCGTCAAACACACAGCAAATACAAACTACGACCATCGTATGTGTGAATCCACCTGAATTTTATACGAACATACATATTCTATACCTATAAATGTAACAGAACTCTCCCCCAAAGAAGAGTTAGACTCAACAAATAGACAAATAATGACAACAAAAAACCAGTTCACATGGTATTCAAGCCAAAGCCACATGCTTAAAGCAATCATTACAAGCCTGCTTGAGAGAACCGTGCGTTTTCGGAGAAAGCTGCCCTCCGGCTGGGGCCACTGTGCCCACTGAGCTCTGGGCACCTTCCACACTCCATCTGCCCGCGCTTCGGGCACATGGCTGTTTTCCCTACAGTCCACAGGATTCTGGCCCACGTCTCGGGCTTAACCGCTTTTCCACGCCTTCCCGTGTACTCAGCAGCTACTGTCCATTCAAGCAGAGCAAGTCTCTCCTTGTTGCTTCAGCAGTGACCCTGGCCTCGGAGGGATTTCTGTGCCGTCTGGTTTCACCTCTACACTTGAAGGAAGGGTTCCCTCAACACGTGGTTTTCAACATGCCACAAAGCAAAGCCACCGGACCTCTCTGCCATCAGGGGTTCTCAATACGTCTGTTCCAGATCCATTTATTTATCCGTATCTATTTGGCTGATGATAACTAACACTTCACATTAGCTAGCAACGTGCCACAGGTCCTTCACATGGAGGAACTCTAATTATGTGGCCGGGATGAGTGCTGTTCCTGTCCCACAGAAGAGCAGCAGGTACGGGGAGGCAGGGCCCAGAGCTCAGGGCGCTGCTGGCTCTGGAGCGCGGGGTGGGGCTCAGCACCCACACAGCTCAGGCAGCCACGAGCCACACGTGGGACACACGGCACCGGAGGACACCACCGCGCGTGCGGCGGCCACAGGCAGCCTCGTGTGCTCCTTTTCAGCATACTGTGGTCTTCCTTTGCCTCATTAAGTGGACTTACGGATATTACCTAGCGTTAACTAACTTAACCTTCACAGAATTTGAAGCATGGCTGAAAAGCATTCCTGCAAAAAAACCACTGATAACACGAATAACACAAAGCACAAAGGGAACGATAAAAAAATAAGTGAAAAAGCTTTTTGCCAGCTCCCCATTTGCCAAATTACCAAGTCTTTAAAAAAAAAAAAAAAGGCATATACACTTAAATCTACCTCCTCATGGTAAAGGTGACAGTTTAACAGTAAGCCAAGAAAAAACTTTCTCAAAACAAAACTTGGACTACGGAGACAACATTTTGAAATTAGATGTTTGAAAATATTTATTTATAATGATAGTCATTTTGTTGGCAGAAACAACATCTATTTAACCTCTTAGTAAATCTGGAAGCTGATTTTCCTAACCTGCTTAAAAATCTACCAAATGATCTGATAAAGATAAAAAATCAACATCTTTTAATAATATAAGAAAAACTGAGATCATGACAAATACTTACCATCGGGATTCCAAGGAAACCTTTGTATATCAACTGCTAACTGGATTTTAAAACGGACCCTGGGGCGCCTGGGTGGCTCAGTCGTTAAGCGTCTGCCTTCGGCTCAGGTCATGATCCCAGGGTCCTGGGATCAAGTCCCACATCGGGCTCCCTGCTCGGCAGGAAGCCTGCTTCTCGCTCTCCCACTCCCCCTGCTTGTGTTCCTGCTCTCGCTATCTCTCTCTCTGTCAAATAAATAAATAAAATCTTTGAAAAAAAAAAAAATAAAACGGACCCTGTGATCTAGCAAAGGCAGCCCATGAAGTACACAGCGCGTCCGCCCAGTGGCTCTCGGGGGCAGGAGCACTGGGAAGTCTGGGTCCAAGAGGGTGGCCACCCCAGCGGTCAGCATCCACGGCAGACACAGCATCCACGGAGAGAGGGGCTCTGCCCCACAGTAAGGAGGGGCGCGAGGGACCAGGGCAGAGTAAAGTCACAGTACCTGCCCCCTGAGGCCTCACAGGAGTGAGCACAGCGTTAGAAGTAGTCCCAGGCATTCTCGATGTGCACTGAGATGGGCCTTGTAGCAACAGCAAGAAGACAGAACAGTGCGTATAAAATTCAGACACAGACATGTGGGCACATGGCCTGCGGTAATACAGGCAAGAACACGCACTGCAAGTCCAGCAGAAGCAATGTATGTGGTGGGAGGAGGGGCAACGCTCTTTTTAAGATTACGAAGAGAACTGGGTGCTCCTTCTCAATCAGTGTAGTTTATTTTTTACAAAGTTCAGAACAACCTAATGAAACAGACATGAGGAAAACTCTGGCATCCGGATGGATCATCCTAAGTCATTCTATTATTGCACTGCTTCATTTAAGGAGGGGAATCACCCTTACTGAGCGTCTGCTACGGGATGGGGCGGGGCCGGGCACCAGGTCCCTGTCCTCCTGCCGCCACACCGCAGGGAAGTGGCTTCGGCTGCCCGTTAGGGCCAGCAGCACACAGCCGCCAGAGTTCAAAGATTATAAATGTCTACGAAAACATCACAGTCTGAATGATCAATTATTTCCTTACTCTGTTTTAAACGTTTAGATCTAAATGGACTAGAGAAGAACGGAGTCCTACTAGAAAGGCCTAAGAATGAGCTACGGTTGCCAGACTCAAATGCCACAACTCCAATTAAACTTCCTTGTCCTGTATGTACACGGGCTGGAGCAGCTGACAACAGCCAGAGCCAGGCTGGCAGTGGAAGAGAAGAGCAAACCAGGAAGGCCCAGAGAGGAAGCCGGCGTTAGAGAGAACAGGGTAAATCCATGCAGCCACCCCGCACCGTGGTCCACAATGGCGGCCCCGAAAGGACGCTCAGCTCCGGGGCCCAACGAAAATGGCTGCTCACCAGGACTGAGCCCAAAGGTCACAGATGCGGTCCTCCGAGTGTCTGCTCTAGGACCCCAGGGAGCCTCAATGCTAAGGCCATCTGGTGGAACATGAGGCCGAGACAAGCTTTCAGAAGGCCCCGGCTCTGGGGCGAGGAGGGGTGTGCGCGTGCAAGGGCAACGGGACCGACCTCCATCTTGGCAGAGAACTACCACCTGACAGCGTTTGTCCTCTGGGTCCCTGGAAGCACAGTCTGGAGATTCTTCACTGACCTACCAGCGAGCACCGGGAATACGGGTTAGCGAAGTCACGGGGAGCTAAATCCAAGAGTTACTGAGGACTGGTCAGGCAAACGGTGTAGACCAAAGACGAAGCACTGGTTATTACATGGCCTGCCATGTGCGGGTGGGGCAGGAAGTGCTTTCTAAACAGGCCGGAAATGCTCTGTGCCCAGATAATCTACAACGCTACAGGGAAGAGCATATGACAGATTCTGGAGCAAGAAGCATGGGCTAAGATTCTAAAACAAGTACATAAAACATGAGCTTTGCTGAGGCACCACCCAGGCCAGGAGTCATGTGGCTGCACAGATGCCCTTGTCTCTGCCCTCAAGCAGGATCCAGGCTCCCCAGGGAGAAGGTGCCTAATGTACCATGTTCCTAAGGCAGAGGTCAGACCACCTTTGGTGAGTGGGTGGTACACAGGGACCCATGCGGGAAGATCCCTCCTATTACACATGAATGAAATGAAATTAGATGTTTGAAAATATTTATTTATAGTGATGTCATTTTGTGACTGAGGGAAACCCACAGCACACTGTTGAAGCAAATAGTGAGGAACCAAGTACGAAATGCACACATTTACAAGGTGTCATGAACATCACAGGCTTTTAAAAACAAAGTTGTCTTACTTGGGTGCTTCGGTTCAACAGCAACCCTCACAATAGGGGTAGCCTCGAAGCTGAGCGGTATAAACGGCGGGCAAGATGGCACGCTACACAGAGTCGCCGACTTGAGCACGAAGTCTTGAAGGCCCCCTATGCCTGCAGGAAGGAAAAGATCTGTGCGGTCAATAAAGGGTGATCAGTTCAGAACTGACATTAGAAAAATAAGACCATCAACACAGCATATGGGTCAGGGAGGAGACACACTTAAAAACGTGGCAAGGAACAAGGCCGACCAGCACACCTGGATGCTATTTAATTGCTGTTAAAAAGACAAGAATTCTGTGGGCTACTGTTTTCCAGATGCACAAATCACATGGTTACATCAAACTGGGCTAACACATCCCTAACTTTGATCACAGAAGTGATCGTGTCCATATACATATGTCTGAAAATACGAATTATTTCTAATTGTAGCTCTTAGTTTTTAAAATACATTAAGTTGATGAAGATGAATCTCTACAGAAATAATCTCTTTTCCCAAATATTTGCAAAGGGGTCAAGGGCATTTAGAGACTTCAAGTTTGAGGCTGCTACAGAGCACCCAACCCAAGTCACCCTTCATACCACCCCAATTTTAGAAGAGGACATTGGCCCCCTTCCCACCCCCTCCCACCATCCTCCCCACTTCAGGCTCCCGGAGATGGCTGCCTAAGACCCTCCAGGAGGGCATCGGTCTTTCAGCGGATGGGAGCACAGGAGAGCTAAAGAGGCGCGCTGAGCCTCACATCCACAGTAAGAGCAGACATCATTCTAGAAGAAATCGAGTTACACACACAAGGCCATTTTTGTGCTTCTGGGCTAAGGTAAAGATTGGGGAGAGCATGGAAGGGCAGGCCACCCGCTCAAGGGGAAGGGGGGACAGGGGCGGGGACATTCGATCAGCATTCCAGATCTCCATTTTGAGCTCAGAAACAGCAAAGGAAAGGAAGCTGCTGTCTTTGGTTGACACCCTGATCTGAAGGGACAGGGGTGATGGACGCCACACAACCCAACGTTCAGTCTGTGAGGGGAACTGAAACAGAAGCTTCCGGCACACAAACTCAGGAGGCAGTGGCGAGGCCTCTTGGTGGACTGCACAGTGTGGACAGACCTCTGTCGTCCCCTGCTGAACACCTCCAGAATTCACCACCTGATGCCTTAAGAGAGAGCTCCAAGCACAAGGAAATCTTCCTTCCATCACGCGGACACCGGTCTTCACCCCATGGCTACACATGCCCAGTCTGGCTCCCCAGAGGACCTCACAAGACATGCCTCCACATTCACCGACCACCCTCGGGATTTTGAAGGCATCTGTCAGATCCTCTGAAGCCTTTTCTGACTCACACTAAACATCATTAGCTCGACATGATTTCTAGACCTTTCTTGTGCAGGGGACCCTCCCCAGACTGAGGTTTCCAAGGTACTAAATTTAGTCCCTGTACATCTGTGTATTTATCTGGTCAAGGTGTAACTTTCTTCTTTTTCCTTTTTTTAAAATTAATTTCATTTTATTTATTTATTTGTCAGAGAGAGAGAGAGACAGAGAAAGAGCACAAGCAGGGGCAAAGGGCGAAGCAGACTCCCCACTGAGCAAGGAGCCCGATGCAGGACTCAATCCCAGGACCCTGGGATCATGACCTGAGCCGAAGGCAGACGCTTAACTGAATGAGCCACCCAAGCGTCCCAAGGTGTAACTTTCTTATCACCGTGCCTCTTGGCCCAGCACCCAGACAGGTCTACAGCGGCCCCAGCTTCTTGCTACCTCCCCCCACTAGTTAAACGACGATGGAACAGATCTGGGTCTGCCCCAGTTCCCACCAAGTCTACTGCGAGTAACATCATCTCCCCTGAGGCCAGACCCTGCATTCCCTCTGACCAGCGCACATGTCCTTGCTGCACACACGGCACGTGGTTTTACTAGAACGAGAGAGGCCAGTCTTTCCTCTGTATCACCAGGGATGCGGACTGCAGATGGCCAGCATATTATGAACGCTGTCTGTCTGGACGTCTGGGCTGCACTCTGCTCCTCAAATTACCAAATCTATTCTTGCTACTTAGATATGTCCAGATTTATGAACATGACTATAATTTACCCAAAAACAGAAAAGAGAAAAGTCAATACCACAGTATTCCTAGTCAAAATTAAGGATTTATAGAAAAAGCAATGTTCCAAAGATAGTAAAAAAAATCCACCACCTGTATTATGTGTCACCATTTTTACTTATTTTAAAATACAATCTTAAAATTTAGGAAAGGGACCATTAAGGTTATTTGGGCGAATCACAAAAAAAAAAAAGATTTAAAAATCACTTTGAGAATTTCTTGAAATACTACCAAATAATTATTGAGTGTACAACCTGATATTTATGCAAAAACACAGTTTAAAAGAACCTTTTTGTTTTCAAATGACATCAAGTACAATTTTGAAAACCTAAAAGTATACCCAGAATCACACCATCCTAAGACTGTCAGTTTTCGTTTTGATGTATTTCCCTCTTGCCCTGCCCCCACAGGCACACATAATTTACCATTCTAATGTCCATACAATTTTTTTATCCTTTCTCTTTTACTTCTGTTGTTCTGGTCACAGTGATAGCAATTACGTAGAAACACTTTCTTCACAGAAAGGACATCTGCTAAGGCATTTTTCAACTGGGGCTGAGGGGGGTAAAGGACATGTTCCCTCAAGAGAATCATTTCAGAATTTCGGGGACAGAACAAGTAACAGTTCAGGGGGAAAAAAAAAAATCAGAAATTAGCATGTCATCGATTTGGCTGAAGGACTAAAGAGAGGACAAGCTTTTTTTTTTTTTGTAATGTTTATCACAAAAAAGGCATATGATCTAAATACGAGAGAGGGAGAAAACAGGCTGAGGAAGCAGGAACATGGGGTAACACCCAGAAAGCTAGCTTGTTTCTATACGAACATGGGTTAAGTATCGTCTGGTTGAAGAGAAATGATCCAAGTCCTCTCTGGTCCTAACTCTTCCCCCTACAAGTGCACTTATATATGTGAGCATGGGACTCTGGCTCCCAGGCTGGGGTGACAGGTAACACACAAGAAACCGCTGAGCCCCCGCACCGTGTCCGCAGGCCCTCGCCAGGCCAGTCCACCACCCCCTTCAAAGTCTTCTTCCTCAAAGAGCAGCATCGTACAAGCGCTGTCAGGACCCAATTTTTTCCCAGGCTCTCTCTAACTCCCTTTAGAAAGTATTCCAGAAACAGTATCAAGGAGCATCTTTTACGATCTGAGACTGGAAATACGGAGGCTGAGAGACGGATGGGCCCTTTGCTGACAATGTTCTTCTGCTCTGAGAAACTCCCCACATGCACAGGCTGAATGAGTCTAGGACGAGGTCACCCAGGCGGGCAGGAAGACGGTGAAACTGTCAGAGTTCTAACACTGCTTCCTACGGACCGAACCCACTGACCATCTGCACAGAGAACAGCAATACTATCTTCAGGGAAGTCTGGATGCTGAAGTGCACTTTCAATGCTGGTATAAAAATGGTACTGGAAATAAAAAAAAGAAAAAACACTTTGTGGGAAAACATGTTAATGCTCTAGCTAGAATATGGTCTCCTAACTTCCACGGTCTCATTTCAAGCCAACTTCAACATTACTGCTCAAGAACCATCAACTTGTTCCTCTTCAGCTGTTTAATCCACCTGAGTTAACACCTTCCTTTAAATCACCGAAGTAAGTGCAAGTTACACACCAAGGATGCCTACAGAGCCTCAGGCCTGTGAGAACAGTGAACATGACCTCAGAAGGGACACGAGGATTCAGATCCTTGAACCACAGACCCGCCGAGCCCTGAACAACACATGGTTTTAACCCTGCGCAGTTAAAAATCCGGGTGGGACTCTGAGTTCCCCCCAGACTTAACTACTCACAGCCTGCTGTTGACCAGAAGCCTTACTGATAACATAAATAGCTGATTAGCACATATTTTGTGTGTTATATATATTCTACACTGAATTCTTACAAAAGAGTGGGCCAGAGAAAAGATCATTAAGAAAATCATAAAAGAAAATATATTTACAGTACTGTACTTCATTTACTGAAAAAAAAAATCCACATGTAAGTGGACCCACACAGTTCAAACACGTGTCGTTCAAGGATCAACTGGATTAAAAAAAAAAAAAATTTTTTTTTTTTTTAAGTACAGGTTTCCAGGGTGGTGCGAATCTAGAGAACCACTGGTTTTGGAAGACCACCTTCTAATCTAGGTCCTTCTGTCTCTGGATGCCAAAGAAGCCCATATCCTCTGCCTAAAGTTTCATGCCGTTATTCTGTGTCTTTCAGCAAAACTCAGATTCCTCCCCCTTTGACGCAACTACAGAGATGGTATCACAGAGGATCCATGCACTTTATAACTTGTCACGGAGGTAGGTAGGCAGGTAGGTACATGAATATAAAATATGATCAAAGGCCTTTTCCAGGCCTCCTTGGCTAATGTAATAAATAGCTCCAAAATGGACCAATATTGCTTAGCTAAGGTTTTCAGAGGATTGGTCAAGTTTCCCCAGTACGCTAAGCAACTGCCCTTTAGCTTCTTGGTGTTACGAGAGGCCCCCGGGGAAAATCTTACAACAGTGACATCACCGGTCAGAATTTCTTCTTCTCGTAGGGACAGATGGAGCTGATAACCAGTTAATAATAGTTCTTTGGCAAGTTACATCAAGACCGGGGGGCCTTATTCTCAGAAGAGAGACTACGGTAAGGAGAAAAAGGAATACCTGAGGAATCAAAAATACCTTTTTTAGAGATGTGGAGGCTTGCTGTCTTTGTCTATATTAGAGAACAGGTAGAAGCTGCCCTGCAGTGTCCTGCACCAGGGAGAAGTAATAACTGGGTGTCACAATGGAGTCTCAGTTTATGCCCCAAGAAACAATCCTGAGGGAGCCAGACCACCTCCACTCCTGCAGGAACAGACTGACGCCATAGGGCCTGGCTCCCACCCCAGGGAATGACACGGGCAGGGAGGTCTAGGATTAAAGTAATGGAAGAAGGGGTGCCTGGTGACTCAGTCGGTTGGGCGTCTGCCTTCGGCTCAGGTCATGATCTCAGGGTCCTGGGATCGAGCCCCACATCGGGATCCCTGCTCAGCGGGGAAC